AAAAAACCTCACCAGCGAATCTACAGCAAATAGAAGCCACGAGAACAAGAAAAAGCCGCATCTATTCAGTACTATATTTAAATTGTACTAGAGGCACCAGACAATGCAATAAGAAAAATAGTAGAAAGTATAAGAATAGGAAAGAAGGAAGAAAACATTATTTGTATATGACGTGGTTTTGGACACTGGAAAGTTATCTGCTGAGAACGACCGCTCTCAGCTATGATTTAAGAGCTCTCTATGCACGTTGGTGCTGCGGCCTCTACGCATTTGGTTCCATTTACCACGAAGGAAATCCCACTGCAATCCTCGTTTTACAGATGAGGAAACTGAGACTCCCCCTCCACGGCGGTCCTGCTGCTTGCTGCTTGCTGCTTGGCAAGCCAGGTCTTGCTGTATCACGTTCTCCCCGTGCAGTGAAGGTCAGGGCTGACTGACTACGGGACCCTGAGCTGACCACCTCAGAGGTGGCACATTCATAAAGTCAGTAGGTAACTTAGTCCCCAGTCCACTGTGTCCTGTGCCGCTTTTTCTTTATGTGTCTGCTCACACTGGAAAGGAACCATGAAGAGACCCTACGTTGTCCCCAAACTGCACTGAGCTTCATTTATTTTGCTGAACGAGCAGTACCAACACATGGAACCTGAGAATCAGGGAATTCCAGACTGGGAAGGTCATGCTTTTAGCCTGTCAATTACATCTACGACATCTTGTCAAGTAAGCGTTTCCCAGCAAGAATCATTCTCCCCTGATCTCCCTCAAGGACTCTGCTGCAGGACAAATCCTGAAGGGAAACGAGACTGAATGTGAAATTCAGTCTTCACATTAACAAAAAGAAAATTTAAATCCCGTACTGTTGTGATGGCCACTGACACACATTTCAAATTCAGAATAAGTTATCCAAAAATACAACAATATGCTTTGTGAATCTACATCAAGATTCATGTCTTATGATTCAGGTATGACGGAGTCTAATGAGAAAAAAATTCAAGCCATATTCCCAGGGCTGGAGGAACTGTTAAATATAGACACCTCGTCTGTCACCTGGCATCGAGGCAGAACTACGAGATGCGAAGGCGTTTGGACCAGCGCAGAGACATGGGACCGTAGTGCCTTCCAAAGCACTTGCAAAGTGGAAAGGGGACCGCTGCAAATCATTCATTCATCATTCATTCGCTCAAATAAAGGCCCATGCCTTCCATTGTTACCATCTCTCCATCCTCGCCCACACACTCCTCCTTACTGGGCTCTAGGGCCTAGGGTCTACCTGGGACCTTGGAACCATTTCTTCAAAGCTGAGATGTGGTGCTAAGGCCACCACTAGAAGCTGGTCTGGGAGCCCTGCGGAGAGGGAAGTGAGGAAGGCCCAGATGATACCAACAACACAAACTCTCAGAGCCCCGGGGGCTGCAGCGAAGCCTACACCACATTCCCTGCTCACGTCTGCAAATTTCACAGGCACACCAGCATTTTTACTAACATGGGCAGAAGCTAGGGGCAAATAGGAATATCAAACATTATTTACTAACTGGTGCAAATACATGTTAATTATATATTTATATTGAAGGAAATCAAAGTTTTGTCACCCTGAAGCTGGAAACAAGACTCAAAGAATCTTTGACCTTCCCCCCTTCCGGCCCAAGAGATTCAGAAAGAAAAATCTGTTTCAGGAAGGAAATCTTAAGATGTGTGCCTTAGCCTAATTTGAATTAAATATGGTAACTAGCAGGGCTTCAGGCAGGGGCCAGTTAGCTAGATAGATATCCAGTGTCTCATTGTTTCTGAGTTGCCCAGCAAGAATTTGTTCTGCCATGTATATTGGCCTCTTCCTCAAAAACCTGTAAATCACCCATTCTTACTTCTGAAATCTAACAGCCCGTCCCCCCATTTTCCCTTTTGTCGAAAAATGTCATATATACCCAATGTCGCCTCACTGTCTTTGGGATTTTCATGCTTATGTGAATTCTCCATGTGCATTTAAAAATGTGATTTTATCCTGTTAATCTGTCTGTTAATTTGATTATTAGCCCAGCTAGAAGAACTTAGAAGGTGGAAGGAAAAGTATTCTTTCAGCCCCCACACATATATGTATATATTTATACATAGAATTATAGATTAAGAAGGCCAATTATATATTAAGAAAAGGAAGCTAGTTAAAACATCCTATACTTAACATGTACTTAAAATATAACAGTAAGGATTTAATTGGGAAACAAAGGTAACTAAATTATGGGAGCAGTGAGCCTCCTCTCCCTGAAGCGGGCTCCTCACCTTCCTCTGGCCCCGGATGTTGTCCTCCAGGTCGCCGACTAAAGCAGCAGCTTCTCAGAGGATGATGACAGTGCGGACCAGAACACCAGGAGGAAAGGCACAGCTCCAACTTACTGCATAAAAACACTGCTTGTGTATCCTACTCCGTTCTCGGGTTTTATAACTTCAAATAGGTATAAAGCGATTGACCACAATTTCAAGAACAATTAAAATATTTATGAAAATGCCTGTTTTCCTATAGTATATTTGATTCTGAAATTCCTCAAGGCATATATACTTCAAATTCTTAGTAAAACACAAATAAGTGCTACTCCATGAACCTCCCGCAAAGCACTTGAAGGTGACTGGACAGCCGGTGGGCACCACATCAAGGTCTAAGAACAGTCGCCCACTGTTCTCAGCAGGCCTCTGTTTGCATCTAATTCCTATACTCGAATTTCAGAAAGATTCAAAATCGGTTTTTAGGAGGGACTATTTTTTTTTAGGAGGGACTATTTTTACTTGATTCTGGAAAGCTGTGGGTAAATTCCATTTGTTTATAAATTTAAATCATTTCCCGTTTTATTTGTATCATAATGTATTATTTTATAAGCCTTTCCTTTCCAACGTCTAGACTAAGAGCTGGCAAGACTTAAAGTTGTCAGTACCCCTAACGGGCTCTGTAAATGTCCCCAAAGATGTTCGGGTTTTCCTTTCGCATCCTGAAGAATCCTCTTTCAAAGAATGGACCACTTCTACCTACTTTTATTAGTTGTGATTTTATTAAGTTTGGATTTCTCATTTGCAGATAAGCATATAATGATGTCCGCTAATAACAATAACAATTGAGTAAGACCTAGTTTAAGGGAGAAGCAAGAAAAACTTTATAAAATAGAGAAATTCTTATTTTTAAGAAAAATCTTCCAGAGGGAGAAACGTCAATTCTTTTTGAGCTTGAGGTAATTCAATGCAGACCTATGCCACTTAAGAAAATTATTAAATAAAAGCTGAGTATTTGAAACTGAAATGAATGAAAATGGACTCATTAAAAGAAAAAAGGTCATTCTTAACTAAGCCCTATTAATCTTGAGGTAATATGTGGAGAAAGCAGATAAAGGAAAGGCCAATGACCCAGAACAGAAGTCAGGAGACCTGAGTTCTACACTCTCAGCCACCAACGAGCTGTGTGACCTTGGACAAGTTGACAAGGCATTTCACCTCTTGGTTTTAATTCTTTTATTTAAAAAAAAATGCTGGGGCCTGGCTATATCCACACCAAGAGCCACCACAACTCTAAATATCATGTCCCTCCCTCCCTTTTTAATTATGCCACCAAATGAATAATACAGAATTATGTAGCTGGGGAAAACTGTTAGCAAATTGACAGTATATAAAAAGAAAGAGAAAAAAGAGAGACTCATTCTTCCTGCTGGCATATATCTCAGACCTGCAAGACATGCTTCAGTTTGAAGTTACATACCTCTTTATTATTCTCATAAATGCGGCATTTAAAGTTCATCTAGAATTCAGTAAGACAGCGTAGTATGAAAAAGAAAGGATTTAAGGAGATATTCAGAGTTACAAGAACAAGAGCAAAACTGATGGACCTGATTACGGTCTGAGAGAAATATTATATATTTGGGGGATCCCTAGAGAATAAGAAAATATGCAACCCTAAAAATATAAGAAATACACAAATCACACTAGGTAACGACCTAACAAGAAAATATGCTTCCCTATGTGGCAAAGACTGTAGCAGTGTGGCACTTTCTGGAGAACAGAAGAGGACACTGCCTTTCTAATGGTCACAGCGATAGGTGATCCAACAGATATGTATTCACTCAGTGATGGGTCACTTAAGCTATCAGGATTTAAAAAAAAAGAATGACAGTGTTACATAAATAAAGAGGAGGGGAAAAGGGCCACAATTTTCAATTCCAGATTATTACGTCCGTGATAAGAAACAAACATGTAAACTTGCTCAGTTATTGAAACAATAAATAAAACTTTTACATTTTGCTATCTAATAAAAACAAAGTGTCTAGTGACAGCAGTCAGACAGGGACAAGAGTCCAGGGTCCAGCTGAGAAGAGCAATAAGAAAAGCCAGAAAGGCAGAGGGGGGCTTGGAGCAAGCACAACTAATTCCAGTTTGGGGTCTGGAGCCGACGGTCCCGAGACAGCAGTGACAGTCAGATGGAAAAGCTACTTTGTTCATTTCCCTCACAAGTCCCACTTATGTGTTTGTAGGTTAGATTGGCTGTTAAGAAAGGAAATGGCAGCATGTAATAACCATAAAGCCTGAAGGTAGGGGGAAAAACAACCCTCTATTAACAGTTAACTTAAGTAACTCGTTTAGCTACTACCCAGTAAGAAAAAAAACACAGCTAGAAATATGTAAGCTAGACTAAAATATGCCAAAGGTTCTAATCAATTCCATCTATTTTGAAACAAAGCATGTACATATGTTCTGAAACCAGAGTAAAAATTATAAAGCACAATCCTTCATTTATTTAGGCCAAAATCTATACACTGAGAAAATCGCTTACTCTGACATTTTTCTCAAGGCATTTTGGATAAAACATTCCACACTGTTCGGTTAATACCAAACTGTCTGAACTAGGTGTGCTGCAAAGGTGAGCTTTCTGTTAAAGCGATCACTCAGGAAAAGAAAAAAACGAAATCAATGAAAATTCTACTTTCAAAAAGGTCTCCCTTAAAGGAAATGTACGCCTTAAATAGCACACTCACGTTTTTCTGTCAAATGCCAGCTCCGACTGCCTAACTTTGCAGATCAGCTTCCGTACCTGCCTCCTTCCGACCCTGCTGGTATGTCTGACCTCCAGCTCCCAGCTGAGTTCTCCCAGCGCATTTCATCATTTCCTGTTGGCTGCCGACTGCTTGCAGCAAAGATAAGTCCAGTCCCCTACATTGCTGCGTTCGCCCTGCAGGCACCAGGTTCTCAGACTGCTGCCCAGGGCCTTCCCGGACCAGCACAGAAGAGCTTTCTTTTCAACAAGTGACCAAATAGAAACCTCTGTATTCCACGGAAAATCAGAGAGTTGAGGTCTGAGAACAAAAGTCGTATTACCCCACCCCCTCCCTAAAATCAACTGTAGGACACACACTAACTTACACCATATGTGATAGTCTTAGAGTCTTTTCTTGTATTCGCGATCCTTCTACTTAGGAGAAAAAAGACATGCTCTGTATCTAAGGAGCCAAGAGTCACAGGAGTTAACGTGACAGGGACTTACTTGCATGAGATAATCTCACATTGTCCCCACATGTAAAATGCAACTCCTACCTCCACACACCAAAGCCGAGCCCCTTGTGAGAGGGAGACACAGGGGAAGCAGGCTCACTGCTTGAGACGGCCAGGGCGCCCCGGTCCCCATAGCATGACTGCCTCCTAAGAACTGGGGCACCCAAACACGCAAGTGTGATCGCCCAGAAATAAAAACCAAACACAAAACACCTTACTTCCTAGAGCTTTACAAAGAATTGAAAGTGAAGGAAAAAGAATAATGTACTTTTGGGTGAAGAAGAGATCCTATATCTCCTCATTTAGAATGAACGTGTCCCCAAGAATATATGCTGTACACTTCCCTTAGACAAAGCAAAGAGGAGGCACAACTAATCCACTGCCTGAAGCCCGGACAGGACAGAGTGGGAAGGGACAGGGCGGGAAGGGGTCCCACGAGCACTTCAGAGCAGTGCTCTGTTTCTTGAGTTCTTACAAGTGTGCTGTGTTTGTAAAAATGCACTGATACTTATAAAATGTGTTCTTTAATGTATGTATAACTCAGTAAAAAGTGTTTGAAAAACGTATGTGATAATATCAAAAAATATAAATACTACAGGAAAGAGCAGATATTGAAACTAACCTGCAAAAACAGACAGGAAACAAATATTTCAAGGGCTCAGTTTCCCCAAAGTGTCCTCCCAGAAAATACATGTCCACTCCTAACTGCCACGGCGAGTTGGGATAGCGGTGGCCAGAAGAAGGCCAGCTGGCTTCCTCCTTGCAACATGGGCCTGAGGGGAAGTCTGCGGCCAAGGGAAAACATGCAATTGACAAAAGAATAGATTGCGAGGGGAAAGGGGATATTATGCTAAGTGGCTATACACTGTTCAGCAGTGTCCTTACTATTCACTGAAAATGCTGTTAAAAACAGCCGCCTAGTCCTATCTCGTAACACAAAACAGAATGAGCTAAAAATCTTTCTAAAATATGTGTTTAGAAATTCCTTAATGGAAAAACACCAAGAAAGCAAAGACCATAGCAATACAAGGCTTGATTACTTGACATATGAGAAATAATAATAATTAACACTACTTGGAAAATTATTATACCACCTTCCTCCCTTCCCGCCCTCCCCACGAAAAAAACAGAGAAGTCAACCCAATTCAGCTCAATGAAATCAGTTCCTCCCACACAGAGGGGCGCACACAGGAGTACCAGGCCAGCCACACTCGACCAACAGCACGGAGGCACCCCCATTTCATCCTGGGGTCTGCTGTAGGACAGACAGGATCAGGAGCTGAGGGCCTAATGGCCCTAGCGGTCATTTTGTCCAGCGACAGACACCCCGACTGAAAAAGGCTGAGCCGCAGGCCAAATACTGTTTCCAGCGACTGATTTTTACTGTCCTTGACCATAATGCACACAGGCTTTCTAAAACTAATGGTCTGGCAGTTACTTTGCAAAGCATTTTAACTAAATTTAAGCAGCAGAAAAATATGATCACAAAAGCCCTTTTCTGGGAGTATCCTCTTCCACTAAGAAAGAATAAATGCCTGAGTTGACTGTCTACCTTCATAAGCGCACTTGACAGGAAACTCTTCTTCACCCCAGGCCCCACTTAGGGCTCTCGATTATGGGAAGGGACAATTACAGCACTCACAGCAAGGGAGATGTATTCATTTTGTTTGTCCAAGACCCTCACGCGCTTTTTTTTTTTTAATCCAACAAACAGGCTGATCAATAAACATTTAGGGTGCTTACTTTATTCATGGTTAATCACGAGAATAACCCCAGGAGGGCAAGTGCTATTGCAGCCTCCATTTTCCAGGTGAGGGAACGAAGAGGTTACGTTACTTGCCCAGTGGGCGAGCCACAGCTGACACGTGGGGCAGCCAGACTTGCACCCAGGCGGTCAGCCTCCGGAGTCTGGCCGTCAACCACCACCACACTGTCTGTCCGTCTTGGCCCCCCTGAAAGATCATGACCGGATCTTAATAAAGGTTTTATTTGAATTAAATCGAGAACGCAGACAGCAGTGAGACTATGAAGTCATGAGACCAGCCTTCCAGAGTGGCCAGGGGCACCCTCTCCCTCCCCATAACTTCGGCCACCTCGCTGGTGGCAGAGGACAAGACTGGCTCCTGCAGTCCTGAGGAGACACTGGGCCAAAACACTGCTCCAGGAAAACCCACCTGCTAAGTCCAGCACGCGGTGCCTCGGCTGGTTTTTCCAGTTCCAGTCTGGCTTCCGGCAGCAGACTTAGAACCGCTGGGCATTCATTCAACAAACATCGGTGCCAGGCACAGCACTGAGGGCCCCAGGGTCTCTGCCCCGGATTATGGGCAGGGCAGAGGTGCAAATAAATAAAAACGGCATGAGCTGATAAATGCTGGAAGCACAGGCTGAGGCATGCTACAAAGGGAGCGATGGCCCAGGGCGGCAGGCGGGCAGGGAAGGCTTCCCGAGGAGCGGACACAAGCTGGTTCTCTAAGAACTTGCCACTGACCTACTCTAACCGTGTGGATTAAGGCAGAAAAGATTTCAGGAACAGAGTCTGGCATGTTAGCTAAAGACGCTGGAGTCCTCAACGCCCGTCGGGCGGGGCTGGGGGAAAGGGGGACAGTCCAGGGAACAGTCATTAACCTGGCATAAATCACAGCTGTCAGGACAGCTGACCAGGCTGCCACTCCCATCTGATACCTTTGTTACACAGTTGTCACATGTTGAAAATGGCCACCTTTTCTAAGCTAGCTTTAAAAACTCCGTAAGTACTACTAGCCCCGTTTTACACAAGGGAACCCATCAGAGAAGTTAAGCAACCTGCCAACGTGACGCAGAATGACGGCAGGATAGGGTTCTAACTCCGGATACCTTCAAAGCCCATCCTCCTTCTATCATACTCTTATGACTCCCATGGGACTAGCCCTGTGAGGGAAATTAAGAGCACCTGGCACAGGTCGTGTCGTATGGGGAGGAAAATAGAATTTCTATGACGTGATCTTTTCCCCCATTCCTCTACTGGTCTGTCCTTGCTCTAACACCACGCTTTTTAAAGACCAGTTTTATTGACATATAATTCACATACCATGCAATTCAGCCAATTAACATGTAAAATTCAATGGTTCTTAGTGTACCCACAGATGTGCAACCATCACCTGAGTCAATTTTAGGACATTTTCATCACCTCAGAAAGAAACCTCGCACTCTTTAGCTATCACTCCTCTCTCCCCCATCCTTTCCCCACCTGAGCAGCCACCGCCTCTTACAAGGTGACTCCTAAAGAGGTTAAGGGCACACGGTAATCGGGTTGTTAAGAAAACAGTGAAAGCTGCAGCTCTGGGCTTCAGCCCTCCCCGCTGGGCTAACGCCAACAGCTGAGCCAGGCCAGGGCAAGGGAAAAGCCGGACAACTCAGGGACAGGTGTCAGGATGACAGGTGGGAGTACCTGGCAGCCGCACGCTAGACGGGCTTCACGGTTCAAATGTCCCTGGTCTTCGCAAGCCCTAAACGCAGAGCTGGGAGGTCCACCATTGGCAGGGAGGGCAGAAGTCATGCAAAAACCCAAGAAGTGTCCCTTTGGTCGCAAGGCCTTATGCCATGAGGAGTGCCCACCTCCCCATCACCAGACAGGCAAAGACCAGAAGACATGGGGTTAACCAGAATGGAGTTGTTCTGAGAAGCCAAACTATTCAAGGACTTTGATGAACAGGTGACTCCCTGGCCTCGGTTTATTTGCTCCCTCGGCCCTCCTCAAGTCCTGGAGGAACAGGAACTACAAACAAGCCACACGTGTACCCCCGCAGTGGCCCATCTCTATCACACTTCTTCATACAGGACATCAAAACCCAATTGTGCATGGCATTCCACGCAGTGGGAACCGCTCAGCACTCAAAAGGAATGAGCCACTGATAGATGCCGCTGGGTAGATCACAGAAATATCATGGTGAACAGAGAGTACTCACTGCGGGTCTCTACACGAAGTTCTAAACTGGACAAAACTAATCTACAGTGACACATCTATGTCTGCCTGGGGCCACAGGTGAGGTGGGGGACTGACTACGCGGAGGCACAAAGAACTTGTTGGAGTGATGGAAATGTTCTGTCTTGATTGGAACTGTGGCCACAAGGGCCTATCCGTTTGTCACAGCCCCTGAATAAGTGCATTCAGTTGTATGTAAATCATCTCACTAAAAAGAAAAGGGAGGGGGAGGGGGAGGGAAGGAGGAGACAGGGGCAGGAGGGCAAGAAAGGAGAAAGGAAGAAAACCCTCTGCAGAACTTGAATAACAGGACTCCCACTCCCAGCATCCCCATGGGCAGTACGACTGTCAATCCAGTCGCCCAGAACGCACTGCAAGGTGCTTCTGATGCAAAGGCTGAAATGACTTCTGTGTAATGTTAACACCAAGTGGGTCTCAGTCCTTAGAATAACTGATCTTCTAACATACACAAGCAATTCTGAGGAACTGGAATGGTCCACTTTCTAACCAGGTTAACTCAGCTCTCTCCACTATCATGTAAAAAAGTATGACAACGCCAGGCAGCAACTTAGAAATGGCAGCTTTCAGTGACAGGTTTCGACGACTGTTC